CTTGCCCATTCTGGTAAAACGCGGCGCAGAATCCCGGTCTCGCCCGGAGTTCAGGTGATGCGGCGATTCCCCGGCGCAGCAAGCTGGTGGCTTCGTGCCTGGCGGTCCCCCCGCGCTGGCTTTCAGGCTGTTTGTGTGCTCCAGAAGCATAAAGAGGCCACTGAGCTCCGCGGCTGTCGTGTCCCCGGGCACGGAGAAGGCGCCACAGGCGCCGTGGGGCCCCTCCTCACGGCGTTGGCAGCGACAACGGCCGTGCCCGGTGGGGACTTCTCTGGCCTCGCGCTAGACGGTGGCCGCGCCCGACAGCAGCAGCAAAGGAGAGAATGGAGAAAATGTCCGCTCTTCGATGCTCTGCTGAGCGTGGCCGTATCGTGGCACCCTGGGACACATGGGAGCTGGAGGCAGCTTCTCTTCCGCTGCTATTTCAGTGTTTTCTGGTGGTCTGGATTTCTCCGGCCACCAGGACGTGCCAGGTAACCTCTGCTTTTGATGACCTGTTGGATTCCCGTTGTGCTGGCGCCTGGCCGTGCTCGCTCAGCAGGCAGAGCCCAGGCTTTAGTGTGCGGCGAGGGCTGGGGAGAGCTGGGTGCGGCGGGAGGACGCTCCAGGTCCAGGTTTACAGACCCGGTGATCTCAACAAGGAGAGGCCAGGAGCCACCGACTCCTGCGGGAGGTGGTGGTGGTGGTTACTGCTCCCCCGGCACTGCCGGCTGCCTTCCCTGCCGGTCTCCCCCGCACCTCGGCACTCAGCACACGGGGGGTTTGACTCCGGTGAGGGGTGAGCCTCGCCGTTTCATGCCTGCTGCTCCTTGTTTGGGGAAACCCGGATCGTCGGGGCGGGCCGGGGGCTGCGTGTGAGCAGGATGTGGCCGGCAGCTCCGGCCAAGGCTCCCGAACGTTTTAGGGCTGGTTGCCTGGGGCTGGAAGAAGCCCGGGAGGAGGCAGGTGTAGTGCTGGGTAGGGGTGAGGACGCAGCACAGGGCACGCTCGGAGCCCGGTTTAGCCGTGCGCAGCGATTCCCTGGCATCGCGTGTTCTTGCCAGCGTCGACCCAGTCGGGGCTGGTCGGTGGGGGCCCATGTGTGAGTCTCGTCCAGCAGGAGCAGGGATGAAAGTGGGTTCCTGGGGCTCCTGGAGTTTCCTTTGAGTGTCCTCTGCTTTGGGGAGATACCCCCAACCTGCAAGAGACAATTAGATCTTAGTTTTGTGTCTTCATCTGGTCAGCCTTCGCATCGGCACCAGATGTGGGGAGTGCTGTGCTGTCTGTACAGCATGGCGAGGGCTGGAGATCTCTCCTCCTCTCCTTGAGGAGCAGGAGGCACAACAACAGGCACGGTAATAGCCAGATTGATGCTGACGGGAAATGGCAGAAGAGCACATCCACGCGTAGCTGGAAATGCCCATTCACACATGCACGCCCTTAAATGCTCCAGGCAACGGAGCACTGCTGTCACCGTCTTGGGGGCTTTGCAGAGAAACTGGAGATTTTAACTAGGTCTGATCTTCGGGAGATGCCCTGAGGACTCCAGACGGAAGGAGGAGGCTGCCCAGCATTGCGCTGTGATGGCTGAGACTTGACAGGGCAGATCTATGCAGAGCAACGGAAAGGAAAAGGGGACTTCAGGATCCAGCGCCATGACAAATTCACCTGCCTTGCTCCGGCATGATTTGCCGTGGTACAGAGAGCTGATCGGTGGGCGGGAGAGGCTGGGGCTGCGTGCCCGGATTTTCCCCGCTCCTCTCTCTCGCACAGACACAGTCTCCGTGCGCACACACGAGCCCAGTGACAGGCGGAACTGTAAGGAGGGATAATCCAGGAGCAAGAGGCTGAGGGAGGGCTGTGACTGTGCCTTGCGCGGAGTGAAGGGTGTTGGCCGTGAGCTCGGCAGGGAGGCAGCAGGGCTGGTGCCTGCGAGCTACGTTCGTGTGGCTACGGGTGGCCCCTGGCTACCGGTGGCTCCCAGCTCCAGCCACCTGAAGCCCAGGCTCAGCGTGGGAGGGTGAGGGTGGCTGCGTGGGCACCACCCGCAAGCCCTTGCCATGAGGCAGGTCCAGCCCCGGCCCCCTCCGTGGCGTGGGGTTAGCTCCGCAGCCCGGTCTCACCCCATCCTACCAGCGAGGGGGTGAGCCCCCAGGCAGCCCCCAAACAGCAAACTCCACGTGCTCCCTCAGTCCGTGTCGTTGGCGCCTTCACCTGAGAGCCTCTCCCAAACGCCTGGCACCCCCGTCCTGGCACCCGCTCCCGCTCAGCCACGCAGGTCGGGGTGGGGGGGAGATACTTGGTTTTCCCTCTAAATACTGCAGGGTGGGTCGAGGCGGGAGGGCAGGAGAGCTCTGGGCGCCGCTTCCTGTGCCTCTCCGCCTCTCTCCGTATTTAGGCAGATCTCGCAGCTCTAACAGGAAAAAAACATGTTTTGATTCAGATCGTGTGTGAAGCGCGCTGCGCTGCCGCTCCCCGTGGCTTGTACGGGTGCGTGGCCGCCGCTCGGTTTGGTGACCGCAAACTTTGTGCCACTAACGGGGAGAAATCGGGGAGGTGTGTGCCCAGTGGCGCAGCCGCAGCCGGGCGCGGGGCTGTTGCTTCTCCGCTGCCGTTGTGCAAAGGCACAGCTGGATTGAGCGCGGCGGGAGGGCGGGGAGCGGCGCCTTTCTGCCTTGGACGCTGCCAGCTGAAGGCGAAGCAGAGAGAACGGCAAAGCCTTTGCAATGTTTGCTCTTCTCACTTTATTTCAGCTTCATGCAAAAGTGGGTGGGCCAGCTTGAAGCAACCCAGAAAACCTGTGGCGCTTCGCAAAGCATATGCTTCCTTGGAGGGGAGCGGGGCTCATTTGCACTCCAGAATGCTGTGTTTGTTTTTCGAGCAAGGACACTGCCAATCCTGGTGGTTAACTCGTGCGGAGATCACTTTCAGCGTGCGGAAGTGTGTGAATTTTAGGAATCGAGTTAGAAAAACAAAGAACATATGTGTGCTGTGTGCTTGGCTTGGCGAAAAAGTGAACTCTGCTGCACTAAGTGCGAGAAGCCAAAAGTGAGCAGAGGACTGGAAACAACGTCTGTGGCTGAGCAGGGCCCCAGCGCTGGCCCGCTGCCTCGGGCGGCTGCGGAGGGCTGGTGGCGGCTGTGGGGGAGCGAGGAGCGGAGCCTTCGGCGGGTGCCGGCGCAGGGAGACGTTCGCTCCTGTCGGTGCTGCCACAGGGCAGGCAGGCAGCCGGCAGCGCGGATCTGCAAGCTGCGGCCTGTGGGTCAGACCCCCTCGCTGCTGCAGCAGGGCTGGCCGCGCTGGAAGGCACCTTCCCAGGTGTCAGTGGGAGCACCCTGAAGTAGAAGAGGTGCGAGGGTGGGTGCCTGGCACCCGAGGAGTGGCTCGGGCCGAGGGCTGTGGGGCACCGGGGAAAAATGCTGCCCAGTGTGGGAGGGGAGCGTGTGTGGGGTTAGCGTGCCCGGCCGGCACACCCGCGCTCGCTCTGGGACTGCAGGCAGAGAACCTCGGCCCCAGGGAGCTGCAGGCAGGAAAATCTCAGCCCTGGGGAGGCGGCTCCCACATGCCCCAGCTGGGGTGGCAGAGCTCGAGGTGGGGCAGGAACGGTTGCGAAGAAAGCAAAATTCCCCGAGGATGTTCTCCGGGAGGACGTCACTGAGCTGCTGCCGCACGAGCAGTCACGTAACGGCAAAATAAACAGTCAGAATCTGATGAATGGTTTGTTCAAAAAATAAAGGCATCATTAATATGCTACAAGAGGCAATTAATACCGTTCATCTAGCAATGGCATGTGCCGTACTGCATCTCCTTGTGCACGCACAACAGCCTCCTGTCGGGTAATGACACTGATTTTGCGCTGGCAGCCTCGGCAGTGAAGAGATAAAGGACATGAGATAAAGGACATAGGAAAATGTGCGACTAGGAGTTACTGTATCACCAGCTGTTGGGCTCTTTGTACGTGTTTCTAAGACCTGGTAATTATCCAGAATTACGCGCCTCAGCAAACGAGGGGGCTTGTCTGGGCGCGGGGAGCCAGCGGCACGCTCCAGCGCGGCGTGGCAGCACAGCCCCGCGCTACACAATGGCAGCGGCAGCTGCAGGCAGGGGAAATTAAACCCTCCAGCGTGCAGATAAAACACATTGACTTCAAAATGACAAGACATGGAAGGGGAGGGAAGGACGTGAGTTAGCACAGGGCGCAACTTGTTATGACAAATAAATCGGGTTCTGGCAACGTGCTCCCCGTGGTTGTGGGAGCTGGCTCCCGGCGGCGGCCCCGGGACCAGCCGTGGGGCGAAGCGCTGCCGGGGCTGGCTTGGCCGGCAGGTGGGTGGTGCTGAGCCTGGGCATGTTCGCGGCACACACTGGGACAAGGGGCCATGGTGGGATTTGGGGGACCCTGGTGCCTTGAGGAGCGGCCTGGGGCAGCTGAGCTGGTGCCTGGGGTGGGGGGAGCATCTGAATCAGGTCAGGCTCTGGCGGGGCTGAAGAGCAGCACGCCGGGCATCTGCAGCCGTCAGCTCGCTGCATTCCTGCTCTGTCGAGGGCCCCTTTCTTATCGGCACTAATCCAGCACAGCAGCTGCGGCGGCTCGGTAGCGCTCGGTGCTATCAGCGCTGTGCAGGGCGCCCGATAACCCCCCTCCTCTCCCGTGCCAGCCGCGAGCCCTCGTCGTGCTCCCGCACCATGTATGGCCACCGAGCCCCGTCGCCAGGCAGCAGCAGCACGGGGGGCGGCCGGGGAGGCAGCCCCCAACCTGCCTCCACGCTCTGGAGCCCCCGCCTCGCTCCCTTGAAGGAGACGCGTCTGCCAAGGCCTCTCCCCCTGGCAAGAGGCGTCCCCCGGGCCCACAGCGCCTGGGCCGGCTGGCAGGATGGAGGGCAGCCGCTCCCCCGGCCCCCCAGTCCCCTGGGGAGGAGGACAAAGGACGCTCGGGGACGCCCGATAGGTACCGTGTGTGCGGGCAGGGCCGTGCCGCG